CACCAACATGAAACAAGAGATCAATCGCACGACGATGGGCGTTACCGACAAGATGCGCAGTCGCCTCGAGAAGCTCCAGGTGGCGCCCTCTGTTCTTATATCTTAAAACGTGCGATAGATGGCGCTCGGGGCCGTAATATGTGAGAATAATAAGGGAGCGCAGATTCGATGATGAAAGGGAGAATTATTTTCTAAATGTTACATAAAATAAGCAATTTTTTTATCTTTAAATCTTTTGCTTTTTACATTTGTTCCAAATCGTGAAGCTATTTCGTCTTTTAGTTTTTAAATATTGGCATAATTTTTGTTAGCAAATTTTTATCGTTCACCCTATATTATTTTGGTAATCTATGCAAGGTCTTCTGTGAGGGGCATGTGTCTACACTAATGTCCCACATGTCAGCTTTGGATTTCTTAATTGATGTGACCTATTGCTTGTTTCGGCAGACGGAGTACGACACCGAGAAGAAGGAGAATGACATCAACAAGAAGAAGCTGGCTGAGTTGGAGACAAAGTATAACAACGAACGCGAGAATATGACCAAAAAGTAAGAACGAAGGCAGTCTCCGCTCGGCTAAACGTTTTAATTAGTCGATTGAATAGCACAGTAATCTTCTAAATTTACACGGTACATGTGGATGTATATGCACAAATACACGCTTCCACACACAGTAATCATACACGCACACACACGCACACGCACACGTAGACATGGACACGCACACGCACACGCACACGCACACGCACACGCACACACACACGCACACTCACACGCACACGCACACGCACACGCACACACATCAACACGGCACAGCGCAGACACACAGCACGCGCACACACACGCCACACGCCAACACATGCCACACAGCACCACACACACAACGCACAGCACACACACACACACACACACACACACAACACACCCAAACGACACACAAACATCACACACACTCACCGAGCCACACGCCGCACACACACACAGCTAATTTTCTGTGTCGACAAGCTTTACACGTGTATCGATCCACATGTCACACAGCATAATGCTTTTACACGAGGCCGCCTGTGCATGCCATTGCACCTTCCAGGAAACCAGGACCTCACGACTGCCAGACACAACAAGCTGACAAGGACGGACTCTCTCTGATAACAAGAAAGGCTGCTCCGCTAACCCCTCACCCGAGGAGCTAAGAAGACCCTGGTGAGTGAAGGCTGCACGCCCTCTCTCTTACTCTGTGCCAGCCGTAAAAACCTCACCATGTAACTTTTGCTTGAAAACATACTCGTGCTGCGTTCTAGCTACCCGGTACATCTCAACCTACAGCTCTATTCGCGCCTACCTACCTCATAAACCTCAGTTAATTTCTACCTACATTGACCTCAGCGGATTCGCTAACCCTACCTCTAACCTCAGTTACATTTTTCTACCCTACAATCTGACCTCACGCTCATATCCCCCTACCTTACATTCTAACCCTCAGTAATATTTCTTACTTACATTTAACCCTCAGACTGTATAATGGCAGGCCAGAGCCCCTAAACTAATTTTGTCATTGATCATGTAACCAAATCCAATCTTCAAATAAATTGCCTCGCTCCAGCTCCCACAACCACTCGAGTGAAACTTTGATATAAATTTACCATTACCGCCGTGACCATCTCGACTTCGCCATGATATCTGTCAGAAAATTAGTATGAAACTAAGAAATTAACGAGTGCATACTTTCTTCATTCGGTAAACACCAAGTTATCAAAATCACCACTGACAAGTCAGAAGTCGCCGCAAAGAATTGCAACGCGCGTCGTTGCGCATATCTGTACGTGGCCTGGTGCACTCTAACCGTCCGCGCGCCAGTACACTCAGAATCCACACTGTAGACGATTCTTCCTCGGTGGTAATGTGGCGCCTCTAAGCGTCTCGTTCCGTCGGCTTATGTGGCGCCCCTCTAACGATCTGCTCCGCTCTGGTCATGTGGCGCCCCTCTAACGTCTGGCCCTCGTGGTAGCTGCTGACGGCCCTCTAACATCTGCTCGTGGATATGTGGCGCCCACCTCTAACGTAGCTACTCTGCTTCGTCTCACAGTCGCGCAGAAACTGGCCAAGCGCAGCAGCGCCTCTGAGCAATGATCGCATGCACAGGAGAATGGAGCGAACGGCAGACGGCCCTGCCACGACGTCACCCGCTCACATCCTGGCTCAGGATTGATCCCCTACTTAGCCCTGGCCTCCACCCAGCCCCAGGCTAGGTGAGCGAGGACGAGAGCAGGAAGGAAGAGAGCGAGGGTCCTAGGGAGCCGCGCAGTGGCGGAGGCAGGGCAGGGCGACGATAGCGGAGGCCGTAGGGAGCGCGACGGCGAGGGAGGCATGCGTTACACATCCTGCACGGATGACTTCCCCTCCACATAGCCGGGCCTCACCAGCCCCCAGCGTTAGGTGAGAGGAAGAAGCGGCATTAGCGACGACAGCGCACGCGGCCAGACGGGCGAGGCCATGGCCGCCTGTTCATCATTTCCTGCCCACGGATCATGCACTTCCCTTTACGTAGCCCTTTCGGCCTCACCCAGTCCAGCGTTTAGCGTTGAGAGCCGGAAGAAGGGAAGGAGCAGACGGCACGAGCCCCCGCCGTTACGGCGCAGGGCC